GGCAAGCTACATTCAACATGCTCGAAGTGCCGGGAAATTCCACAAACTTTCTATATACATAGAGGCGTGTGAAAGCGGCTCCATGCTGATGGGCATGGAACACGACAATTTTGGTGAGATTACTCCTGAATTCAAAAACTTTGCACTTCGAAGGAGGTTCTTAGTTCTGATTGTAGGAATAAAAGATAAAACGCCTGAACTGACCATAAGCATCCTTTCTGAAGAGTACCACACACTCGATTTTCAGAATAGACCATGATCGACTCTCCATTAATCTCGGCATAGTTGGTATTCAAGCTTTCTTTGGCCTTCGAGATTGGTACATAATTTTACTGACTGACGTTTCGGCAAAATCGCTTTCGTCTGAGTCTTAAACGATAATGGAGCTGTAGGAGGCACCCTTCTGCCAGGGCCCTTAAGTTCAATCTCGAGGGCTAAAGAAACAAGAAAGTTGAACATCCTCCACCGCAACCAACCCACTGAGACTACTTGTCTACTTCTTCTTCTCTTCCCTAGCGTTAATCCCGCGCCGTCGCAGTATTCACTGTTTCTGTAAGACGTCACTATGTTCGGGTCCAACGCATGTTCCACCAGGCCTTGACTTCAGTAAGGCCCTCTTTGTTTCGTTCCTCCAGCTCTTCTCTGTATCTAATCATGATCGCTTGCTCTAGTCTCAAAGCCCAAAATTTCCTCAAACGGTGATCGTGTGCTTTTCTAAGCACGTATTCGTGGCAGCCGCTGCTCTCGTGCCTTCAGCTGAATAGAGGCAGCCTGCAGTGTCCACTTACCATCCTCATTCCTGACCATGGCCAGCTTCGTGTAGCCCCTTGCCCAGTTGGCATCCTAGTTTCATCGAGTTAAAGCTGCTCTCATGGTTCTCATTTACTGGCCTGTTCTCGCTGCCGCAGAGAATCGTGGGCCTTACTATCGCTCGGTACCTTGTTCTAGATCACCTTGGAGCATTACCGATCAAGAGAAGGCTAGTGGATTCCTTCCACTTAGTTCACGCTGCGTTTGTGGCCTGGTCCACACCAACATTAGCGGCGAGTACGCCAACCAGGACTCCTCACTCTCGACGTTTTCCGTGTGACGCTCCACGATTATCTATACTTTCTTCACAGCTCAACAACTTTGTCTTCTTCACGATCAGCTGAACTGCCCTCTGCCAGCATCTGGCTCCATTTTCCGTCTTGACTTGGAATCTTCCCTGCTGTCCGCTAAGCAGGCAGGATACCGTCGAGGAGAGTAGTCTTTAGGATCCTCTATGAGCTCCTTCACAATGATAATTGGGGATAGGAGGAATCTGCTACTTGAAGCCGATCCTGGTGTGCCCCCAACTCCCTTGTTAGGCCGAATGGGGCACGTGTAGCTTTAGATCCATAGTGCATTTCGTTCACAAGAGAGATCAGATGTTTTGGAATGGACTCCTTCTGAGATTCTCCATAAAACCCGAAAGTCCGGGCGCCATCTCCAGGTGAAGGAAGGCTACGTAACACAATTGACGTTTGTATACGTGTCTCTCCATTATCTGGAGAAGAAGGTCGCATCCGTTGTGGATCTCCCAGGCATGAACTCGAACTATTCTCGGAAAATGGTCACCAGTTCTTAGCCAGTAGTTCTAGCACTCTATCGCAATCCCCTTCTCTTTGAAGATGGGGACCATAGAGCCTGTTCCCCAGGCATGCGGCATCCTTCCTTCCGCATTTTTTGAGGTTGCTGGGTAGCTACGGTATGCCGTGCTCCTTAGAAATTTTCCATACCCTAATCGGCACCTCATCTCACATACGGCCTTCCCAAATTTCCTCTTCTGCACTGTCCGTCGAACCTCGGCCTCGGTCCAGAGTGCGTTGGGTAATGATCTTCCACTCGTGGATTGTCCTTGTGGTTAAGTTCTCGTTCAGCAGCCCAGCTTCCTCAAAATACTGCCGTCCTGCACCCTTTGGCACCCTCATATCTTGAACAGCCCGAGGACTTCGGCCAGCATGAAGACGAATATCTCTGCATTTCTGCTTTCCAGACTCTCGTCCTCTTCGTCCATCTATGGTGTTTTGCCTCGGTCACGGCTTCCATAGCAAGCCTCTTGCAACCTTTTAAGGCAGCGAGGTTCCCTCGTCCTTTGCAGCATTTCTATGCATTGTTCTTCCGCTTCACGATTTGCTGGACTCCGGTCCAAAACCATGCTGCCCTGTTATGCCCTTGCGTCCTACCCAGTACATAGTTGGCAACTGAT